TTCATATCAACCAACAATTCCTCCTAGTGTAAAACCTTGAACGATTTTGTGGTCTTGAAGCCAATTGACATTGCTATTCAAAAAAAAAAATATCAACCAACAATTCCTCCTAGTGTAAAACCTTGAACGATTTTGTGGTCTTGAAGCCAATTGACAATGCTGTTCAAAAAAAAAAAAAAAAAAAGCCAATTGACAATACTCAACTCAATGTGCTAACAATAAGTCCACTTCTCAATATGCTGAGAGGGAGAGGACTGCGAGCAAGCAATGACTGAACAATGGCGTTGAGTAGATGGTTGTTTAACAGGTCCAAACCCATATAGCGGTTAAATTCTGAATGAACAATGACTGAAGTTATGCTAATTTTTTTCACATTGTCCCAAAATTCAACAGCCTGTGGACATTTTTCGTCAAAAATACACCTAATGTTTGTTTTGACATGCATTCCCCTGCCACTTAGTATGTCGCTCAATTGTCTTATTTGTGTTGGTGTGTGCAGAATGTCGTGAGGACTGTTTTAAGGAGCACTTCATCATGAGGTTGGTCATATCTTTTACATAGAGGAATTAATTTCATGAGAATTAGTATGCTACTTTATGAATTCATCAGTAATACCTAGGGGTATGAATGGTCGTTCTGAGATTCCATTAATAATGTATCTATGGTTTGATTGTCTTGCTCTTCTGAGCTCATTAACAGAGTAAATATGGTTCAACGAAAAATGGAACAGTAAGGTGTAGCACTCTTGGATGTTTTTTTTTCCCAGAGAGTAAAATCTCTTGGATGTTAATTACATTGAGAGTGGAACTGAATATGTTTTGTGGCATCATCATATTCACAATTAAGATTTTGGGGCATACAATATTCTCTCAAAGTATTTGCATTGTTTGGGACATGACAATGTTCTGAAAAATAGGAAACTATGTTCTTATTGTAATTTTTCATTATTTTCTGTAAATAAATCATCAGTATTCTTGTGTTGTTTACACAGAAGTAGCTATATAAGCTGGCTGTTGCGTGAAGTTTTATTGGTGTATTTCAATTTTTTCTATAAGTTTAGGTATGGTGATTCAGGTATGAGAAGTATCATGTCTGTGATGGAGGTGAGGAGGAGGAGAGAAAGGCCAACTACAATGACTTGGTAAGAAGACTTATTTTTATCGTTTTCTACACAAATCTGACTTATTTCTTAGAAAGGTCAGCTGTGTATTTACTCAACAGCGTGATGTTTCGTCTGTTAGAAATTATTCCTGCGGTTTTTAAGATAGAGACCAATTCACATGATTTTTTGTTTGGTTTGTTAATTGTATCGCAATGGTATGATGTCATTCAAGCTTTGTGTTTCTCTCACATTCAAGGACATGTAGCTGTATAATGTTCAGTCAGCATATTGTTTTTACTATTCTTTTTGTTATACAAAGTGATGCAGATGCAGAGCCATACGCACTCTAGGATAGAACTTTTCTTTGGACCTAACTTACATATAGACAAACCTTAGAAAATAGCTGCAAGAAAGGGCAAGTTCATAGGCTGCTTTTTCCTATGGATACTAATGCTTAAGCTGAACTATGTTGTGATCTTAGGACAAAAAAGTTTAAATACTCAAAGCCATTAATTTGGAACTTATGATGAGCATATTACGCCTCACCTTTGTGTAGAAAGGCAGTAGTTCCACAAATGTTTGACCCAACTTGAACTTATAAACAGAGGAAATTGGCAACTTAGCAATGATGAGGTGGACAAATTAATTAACAATGTTCTTACTGAATCCTGACTACTCTTAAGCCCATTTCATCTGATGCTCTTCTTTAACACACAAAGTGGTTTTGTGCATTCTTTTCTTGCTGTAAAATTGGAATCTAATTATAGGTATCTGGGGCTTCCAGGTTGATAAATACTATGATCTCGTTACCAGCTTCCATGAAAATGGCTGGGAGAATCATTCCATTTTGCGCAAGGTCATTGCTGTTGTCTTCAAATCTTGCATTCATCTTCTACATCAATTTTAGATTCAAGCTATTTGTGTCAAGTAATTAATATGTAGACATAAATTGTTAGGTGTTCCACGACAACTTCTAATAAGTTAATCACGAGGATTATATTTGTACTCTGCAAATGAAAAGCAGAGTCTCTTCGAGAGAGTATTAACAACATGGGCACTTCCTTGCTTTACAACTAAGCCTGAAATCATGACAGAAGGTGTTAATTCTTCAATTGATTGTAGTTTAAACAATGTCAATTTAGTGACTCAACTTTTGATTGGGTTTGCCGTTTCATATTGTTGTTCAATCCTTATGGTTTCAAGTCTATTTGGAAAGGTTTAGAGAAGTTCCTTTAGTTTCATTTACTCGTTTATGTCCAAGAGTTGGCTCTGAGGATGATTTTAATATTGATGACTAGTAGCTCTACTTCAGTTGCAGCTCACACCAAGAAGGAATTTCTATTAGCAAGCAAAAGGTACATGCTTCTGCTCTGAACTTCTTTTTTTGTCGTGATTTGATTACTGTTCAATGATAATGTAGTATGATTTCATGAAAATGTCATTTCCTGAAAATAGTTTTGATGCCGTATATGGAATCGAGGCTAACTACCATGGTCTAGAAAAAATTGTTGTTGGAAGCTTGGTTGCTACGAAAAAATATATCGGTTAATGAAGTCTGGTCAGTGTTTTGCCGCATACTTTTACACCAAAAATACCAAAAAAAAATCAAGGTATTACAGGAAAATCCTCATTTTCCTTTCTGATTAGTTTTACTCTTGAATTATTCTCAACCCTTCTTTGCATCACAATTTCATGGAAAGAGGCAGAAATCAAGATTGGTGATGGCCTCCCTGATGATCCAGTTGACAAGGCAATGACTTGAAGCTCAGAAGCTAGCAGGTTTTGAAGTGACTTGCAAATTAGTTATTTTCTACTTGATCTCCCTTTACATTCAAGTAGACTGCCAATATGACTAAAATGAGGATGATTTGTTTTTGTCTATGAAGGTTACATGGGAGAATGATCTGGCAGGGGATCACACAGTTTCCCGGATCATAAATACCCCAATCACCCAACGAATCAAGGTCGCACGTCTCAAATGGGGTGGGTTGACAATCCAAGTTCTCGAACCCAAAGCTGCAGGAGGGCTTTTTACTGGCGGACAGTAAGAAGTATCTCCACTCAACTTTCTTGTCTTTCATTTTGAGCCTCTTAACCAGAACAAAAGCCTTAAAAGAATTTGAATTGGACAAGAGCCCTTTTAGTGTTTTGCAAAATGCACTATACCTTATCAATAATTCAACTTTAGTGTTTGATTTTAGGCTCGTCTCATATAGGAGCTCTTTTATTTGCTTAGCTTGTATACCAATAAATAACGTTATGGGGGCTATTTCCTGGTTTTTGGGAAGACGAGGAAAGAATAGCTATATACTTATGAATGATTTGGAAAAATCACACTCTGACCCCCCTTAATTATGGACTCAATTTTTACTTTGCCATTTGAACTATTGGATTATTCACATTTCCCTTTTAACTACTTAATTATTTTGCATTGCTTTAAACGTGCACATCTGCTATCTTTTTTGATGACAATTGTCAATGTTTTGGGGCCAAGTAAAAAAAATCACATAGTTCAAGGAGTAAAATGAAATAATTTTTGTATAATTTATAATGGACATTAATAATTGGGGCAGAATGAAACTAATCATATAGTAGAAGGTACAATGTGAAAAAAAAAGTCATAGTTGAAGAGGTCAAAATGTAATTTGACCAAATGATAGCGTAGAATCAATTCAAGTAGTTTTTTTTTTTTTTTTTTTTTTTTTTGGGGGGGGGGGATATGAAAAATCCATGAGTCCATAGTAAGTGGGTCAAAGTGTAATTTTCCCTTGGGCTTACAGGAAAGAGATCTTTAAGCCCATGTATTTCTTCTCGGTTCTGAAGCCTCAACGGGATGGGCATGCAGTGACATAGTATAAATAGGCTGCTGTATTGTTTTTTTGTAAGTTGCTTGTCCAACTCTGAATTCCCTTTTTGCTTGTATATGTGGAAATTTTCTTAACTTTATGGGTATTTCGGTGCACACATTGTTTATTTTGTCTTGATATTTATGATATATACTCTTTTATATCACCTTGAGCGCGGACCTTGGCATTGATGTGTTTGAATTACAAAAATCATCTCTTTGCATGAAAATAAAGTTGTAAACGTGTGACCCTCTCNAATATTCCATTGATGCAGATAGCCGTGTTTTCTATGTTTAAGTAATCATATGGAAAACTAGTGGCCCAACTCAGCTAGATCCAACGTGACACAAGAATCGTGCATTGGGCTACTCTCCCTCCCATACAGGTGGTTATCATTGTAATGAGATCTGCTTATTTTTTTTTTAAATTTCCTTAAACAAGGATTCAAACAATTCTTCTCTAAACAATTAGTCATCGCATTTGAATCACCTTCAACCACAACTTTCTGATAACCTGTTTCAGTTGCGATCTTAATCGCAATAGACATTGCTAGGGCCTCCACATGATCAAAGGAAAAGGCCTGGGGATCCACCTATCATTCTTCATTCAAACAAACACTTGGACCGTCTCTCATTGGCCATCGCATTCTCGCCTAGACTTCCATCAAAGTAGAGGTAGGAAAGACCTTGCTTGCAAAACTTTATAAAGCATGGACTCAGGATGTTTAACTAACCTCCAAACTTTTTAGCCAACATAACTAGATTAAAAGTCCCCATACCTCCACGAGATTTTACTACACACATGTTATCTCAAGCTATTCAGTGTATTCTTCTTTCACTATTCTTCTCTACCCTTCAGAAATTAGCAACCACACTATTTTTGTTATTTTAAATGAATTATTTTTGTTAACAAATTGTGGAGTGTCAATAATGTTTTTGATAATAAATTAGAAGGGTGTCATTGAAAATTTTTCAAAAAAAAAAAACATCTCACTACACCCATTACATCCATTTCTCACCGTCTCTCTCTCTCTCTCTCTCTCCCCCACCCAGCATACCATCACACACACACTCCCTCTCACACTTTCTGCATCTCTATCTCGCCACTGACGCACGAAGCGCCACAGCACCCTCGCCAGAGCCACAGCGCCACCACCAAGGTATTGCCCTCCCCTCTTTTCCATCTCCCATGCTTCGCATGCAGACACCCCCTCCCCCATATTCTCTCCCCCAAACCCCCCACTCCTCAAATCTTCCGCCATTTCTCATAGTATTTCTCTCTCTCTGCACACATGCACCCTCCCCTCTCTCCTTCCCATGCTTCACACACACACACACACACACAGAGGAATACTCCTCCTCCACCTCCACTCCCAAATTATGATCGAGTAGCACAATCGCAGTGACTATGTTTTTCAAGCTGTTAGCACAATTGAGTTTGCTTTTTTTTTTTTTTTAATTTCAGTAAAGCTTTTTTTTTTTTTTTTTTCCATTTTCCAATTTCAATTTTTTGGGCTTGTTGTTTGAGAAAATGTCTGAAAGGATCTGGTTTATTGGGCGGAGAGAGAGAGAGAGAGAGAGACGGAAAAAGAGAGAAGGGGGTCGCTGGGGTCTCCAGCAATGCCGACAGCCAGCAACTCCGCTGCAAGGAACGCCAGGTATCTCCCTCTCTCTGTCTTCTCCACTCCCACCTTTACCCCAGCTCTGTCACCGCCTTCTGCCACAAACCCAACCCCTCCTTCTACCATAAACAATCCACAGAGATCCATTTTCTCCACCATCTACCCCCGTGAAGTGTTTGGTGTTGATTTGTTGCTAATATCTACCATTGATTTTTCATTGGATTCTTTTACTTGGGTTTTGAAGTTTTTTGGAATAATTAATGGGGATTGTTTACAGTAATTATTTGAGCTTAAGTATGGTTGTGTTGTCGGTGAACTGCATCCTCATTCGCCGAAATATTGAGGCCGTTACAAATCAGATTTCTGATAAAATCACCCATGCATTAATTTTTGCTTTATGTTATTCATGATTTTTTAGATTTGATTTTAGGTGGACATCCAATTGTTATCCGTTGTTTCTTTGATTAATTTTTCTCCTTGATGTTCAATTCTCAAGGTGGCCATTTCGATTCCCTCACGAACTTTGTAGGATTACCACTCAATTTTTTCCTTGCTAGATGCTGCTTACTGTTTTAGTTTGCAAATTATTGCAGGTTTTGCAAATGAAATCACAGCTCTACTAATTTGCTTATTGAAAATATTTATTTCCCTTTATTTTGACAGCCCCTGTTTTGCATAGAATGTGTCCAGTCAAATGGTTATAACACTCTGTATATTAATTTGTTTATTAATGTCACTGTAATTGTGGTTGGTATGCCTCAATGACTTTCCAGATTGGTTCTTATCAAATGATATAGTTAGATTCTTGGCATCTTGCCTCCTTGATGCTTTTCTTAAAGATCAAAGGATAGTTGCATCATATGAGTGTCATTAGAACAAGCATCGCAATGATCAAGATCACTTTTGGATTTGAGATAAAAGTCAAAATTTAATTAGGTCTAGCATTTATTTGGTTTTTATTATGGGCATGAGTTTGATTGTAGACTTCTAATTTTCGTTTCTATGGAAGCATTTAGTGCCTCTCCTATTAGTGCTCAAATTTTTATATTGACGAATTATTCTTATCTATCTAATAAAACATCTACCAATTTGAATTCCCCCCAAACCGTTATTATTAAGCATGCTTCCCAACTCTCACTCCCTCTCTCCCCTCTCTCATCTGTCTGTTACCTGATTTCTCTACTCCATTCTCTGATCTAATATTTTTCTCTCCTCTGTCCACTTTCTATTCTCTATTTGCCCAAACAGCCACCCACCACTGTCACACCTACTAGAGACCCACCACCATGGAGAGCAGCGACACAGTGTCTTTAGGTTCCTCTCTCTCTTCCCCTCTTCTCTCTCTCTATTTTTTTTTTTTTTTGTGTCTGCAACTCAACACACACCCACGCACATCACACAACACACACACACCCACACCCAGCGCACATTCTAATTTCTAACACACCCACCAAACACACACTTCACACAAACACACACACCCAGAAAACACAAAACCACGTCGCATGCACGCACCCCCACTGCCACTGCACAGCACACGTGTGCATATCCCTGCACCAACACTCACAGATTCACACACACCTCTCATACACACACAGTTGTATGTGCACACATCATGATCAATTGATTTAGGGTACAAATTATGGTTTATTTAGGGATTTTTGGTATGATTTTATTTGTCAATCTCACCCGAATATTGTTTTTTAGAAATTCTGATTTCAGCATACAAACTATGGTCGATTGTGGCTTTCTATCACAACTGTTAGTCGGCCCCTTCGTTTTCTATCAATCCATGTCATTTGATTTATGTGATATACTGCATATTCATTGAGTATTGGAGTTGAGCTCAAGTAAATTACTTTCCTGATTAAGGAATGATTGATTGGTTATTGTTCCTTTGGCTTTTGATGTGCAACATATTTTGACCTCTCTCTTATACTGGGTATTTGTTCTCTTAAATGTTATAGGGTTTCTTTTTTTTTTTTTTTGAATTTAAATAGATTTGTATTAGGTTCTTTAAACGCTCTGTTTGGCAGTTGAGAAAAAAAAAAAAGAAATCTTTAAGTGGGTTTTTAATATGACGGTCTAGATTGTTTTTGCTATCAATCATTTGTTCAATTTTGTGCTACTACACTTAATAATTTTGTTGAGTGAGTCCACTATTTCCGAGATTGCATTGTGATTGACATTTTCTTAGTTCTTTAAGATTTATAACGCTAAAGGTTGAACCTTTGGGGTTTTGGTTTATGTGTCTTGATTTGAATTTTGGTGTGGGCTTTGATTGGTCTTTGTAAATCTCTATTCAGTCTATTTCTTTATCTCTTTAAAATAAGAGAATGGTTTTATGAGTTTTTTGTTCAAATTTCGATAGACTTCTTAATTGGTTTTTTGGGTTTGAATTTTGGTAAAATTTTAATTTTTTTATATGTGGTTTCTTGTAGTAAATGGTGAGCTTTGCTTTTTGTATTTTTTTTATTTTAGCAAAATAGAAAATTTATTTTGAATTTGAAATTACTAGATTTGGGATTTTGTTTCAGCATCGGACTTGACAAGGTTTAGGTCGTGTGTATACATATTTTTTTTCCTTTTATGGTAGTCGATGCATTGGAAGCTATCAAATATATTAGACCATAGCGTTCTCTTGGCATTCTAATTCCCTATTTTTCATTGAATTGACCAACTTTCGCCGAATGTTTATGATGAGCCAAATATGAGGCCTGAGAATAGGGGGAGGGGAGGTGTGGACATTCTTGACCCCTAGTTATTCACCTTTTATAGGTGTCTGGGTTGGTCAATGCTAACTATAGGTGGTGTATTGGGGTTCTCCTTTTCAACCACATATGATGATTCTGAATTGGGCAAAGTTGATATCGGTGCTAGAAGCCGAATTGCACAAACAATCAATTTTTGCTCACCTTTTTTGGCTAATCGGTCTATTTTGGCTAATCGGAAAAGGTGCCTTGATTTACTTTCTGTGGGATGTAAGACTTTCATATTTGTTATTTTTCTTCATTATTGTTGTGATCAACTTACTTCGTTTAATGCATATTGTAATTCATGCCTTAAATTTTAAAGGACTATGCCCTAAATTTCTAATGTTTAGTTTGGGAAATCTACCCTGCACATATTTTACACCTCTCTCTCTCTCTCTCCTCTTCCCTCCCTCCCTCCCTTCCTCTTTCTCCTTTTTTTTTTCCCACCATTTGCGACCCCAAACCCACCCTTTCATCAGACCACTGCCACAACCACCAGCTTCCTCCTCCCCCCAGTATAAAGCACATGCAGTGCTTGTTGAAATGCCGCAACAGAAATACCCCAATCTCTAGTTTTTGTTTAATCTGAACCTGTGTGCCTCAATCGGTGATAGAGGTGGCAAAAACACTACAATGAAGAGACTGTACTAAACTCATTTCTTTTGATTTTTTTTTTTGGAATAGATTATTCACCATTTTTACTAAACTCTTCTCTATTTTTGTTTAGTTCTTTGTGTTGACAATACGTGAAAGCTCGCTAGGTGTCAGAGACTCCTAAGAAGAAAGTAGAGTTATGAAAAAGCTATGGAAATGCTACAAAATTCTAATAAGTGATGTTTTTAGCACTTCTATTTATAAAAAATTCCACTATAATTTGGGTTTGGGTTTGAATTAGTTGAAGAGTTTGAGTTTGGGTGCAATGATACTTTTATTTGGATTGAAATGATATGTTATTCGGAGTGTTGCCTTATCCTTTGATTTTTTGTGAACTTACTCCATCTAATGCCAATCTATGTTTTTTTTTGGTGAACTTCACGACAGGCAACAACTATCGGCGGTGCAGCTCTAGTGACTAGCGACGGCACAACTCAAATGGCGACAGTGACCTCCTAAAGAGTGGTTTGTTTTTTGTATTTGTTATTTTAAGGGGTTTTACATTTGTTTAGGCGATTTATATTTTTTTGTCGTTATTTATTTTTTTGTAGGTTGTCTCGGATTCACACGGCCATGCCACTTTCAACGTCACGCCACCGTCCTATTCATCGATAAGATTTTGGTTTTAGTTTTTTATAGGTTGTCTCATGTAGCTTTGAAGGTATGATAGATAGCTTTGTCTAAACCTTGAGATGTTACTTTCATTTTAGTCCATTATAGTCAATGATTTCCCTTGTGTGTTGATACAAGGACACTCAGGGTTGCAAGAAAGTTTGATGACCCCAATGATGAATGCCCCATTTTGGTAAACTAGATTAAGGAATGATTCATTTTGCAATTGTACAATATAATTATGTTTTGTGGTCATTCTTTAATCGTATGGTTAATATTATTGTGATAGTTGGTAAATAATTGTGTTTGGGCCAGGTACTATGGGTTAAAATTATTATGTTTTTTTTATAGTAGTTGGAAAAAATTTGTAAATAGGCAAAACAATGGTTAATATTATGATTTTTTTTTGTAGTAAATAATTGTGTTTAGGCAAGACAATGGTAAATACTATTACGTTGTCGTGGTAGTTGGTAAATAGTTGTGTTTAAGCATGGATATGGTGTGATTTGGATATGATTATGAAATATATAAGTTTTGTAGGCATGTTATATTTGTGGGATCATATTTTCAGGAGATACTCTATGTAATTCAAGGGTATAAAATTTTGAATTGGGCAAATCTTGGTTTTTGTTGATTTATTGACGTAGAGCTTGGTTTAGAAGTAGTTTATATCATTTTGATGTGTGATTGAAGTTGTTTGGAATTGAAAATTTTTATGGGTTTATTCTAATTTTTTTAGAAAACGGTTGTACCATAAAATCTTTTGTTTGGTCTGTCACTTTTTCAAAAATTCATATGGTGCAGTTGTTGTGGTTAGTTGTTCATGTAGGAAGAATGATTTTCTGTTGTTTTAGATGCATAAAAGTGGTATGTTTAGTTTTTAACTACATCCATTTTATTTGGTCAATTGTATAGGCAAACACAGATTGATTTGTGGGTCCTCATTTAGAATAGACAACACAATTTAATTGAATTGGTGCAATATTAAGTTAGGAATGCCATGCAAGTTTCTTGGTTTCTTTGTTTTTTTTGTTTTTGATAAGTCTTGGTTTATTTGTTTAATTAGTATTTTCTAAAGGGTGGATTGTGTAATTAGAATTTTGATTGTCTATACACATTGATAGTTCA